AATGTAAAACAGTAAACCAAAACCTTGTAAAACATCAACTGAAGTGAAGATGTCCCTAACGCGCTAATGGCGCTATCGGGGCACGATAATATTGCAATAGACCGGGACAAGACAGGAAAACTTTTTGAGGGCAATGCATGATTGTATGCAGATTCCTCCAACAAATCACATGCGAGGTTTGTATGGAGCGTACATGTAGTGGAGTCACCCGAGGGGTTGCCGATTGAAACCTATCTTAGGCTATTCGGTTATATTACACGTTTTGTGAAAAATATATTGTTGTAAATCTTATAACCTCCAGCAAACATGTAATTATTTAAAGTACAACACAATCAAGTACATAGCAATACTTCCCTAAAGGAACAAAATCGTTGAAGAAAATTAAGATGTACATGAAAGTGAAAATGTTTCCTTTCCACTTAAACGACTTGCATCATTCAAACTGATTTAGCGATACGATGCTCTTCACCATTCAGATGTGATTCAATGCGCATCCTGTCATCTTATAGGAGCGGATACTGTTCGGAGAGATTAGAAGTATAGTTTGAACATTAGAATTGTGTAGAAAGAGTCGGAGTAGTAAGTTACATTTATTTATTGATTTCCCATTTTTTAAAATTTATATTTTACTCTTTTTGATTTATTTTCATTGTGATGTTAAACATTGTGTTTTTGAAATGTAATAAGTTATCCCAATACTAGATAAGCACACGGACACAATTCTACATGTATTGTATTCGAAAGATATAGAAAAACTATAGCTAATGCTAGTAATAATAATGTCAGTGTTTCAGTATACATTTAAAGTAAATTATTGAGGCATTTCTCGTAGAGTCAAGTCTATTTCCTGAGGCGAAGTTTGCCCCCCCCCCTCTCTCTATCTCAGTACATGCTTGTTAGCAGTCAGCCTACAGAAGTCAGGAAGTTACGTCATACGCTTATTCATTACTTACGATGACCTCATTGTTATCCGCTTATGGATTTAAGGATATTATTCCCCATTCTAATTTGGTAGCTCTTGTCCACCATAACAAATAAAGAAATATTTCATTCATACTTATGCTAAGTATATAGGTCTAGATGTATTTGACACTTCAAGTACAAGGTGTTGCCATGTTGATCTGCATTTGATAAAAATTGATTTGACAAATGACAAGCAGCTCTGCAGGAAGCATTTTCAATTGAAAGGAAAGAAGGGGGCACATCCAATTACTTAGGAGGGTTGCAATTAATGTCATCAGACGTTTTTAAAGTAGGGACACAGGCATACAGTAGCTACTTTTCTATAATATAATACATCTATATATCGGGAAAATTATTGAAGATCTTTGCCTACCCCCGTTTTCAGGGCTATGTAGGATATGTGGTAGTTCTGACCTATTAGATGTTATGAGCATGTAAACGTGGTATTTCTGACCCACAGGTACAGGTACTTGTGGATAGGAACCCCTCTCACATTATTCCCATATTTTGGATATTGGGGGAGGGGGGGGGGGGTTCCTGTGAATCCTGTCCACACGTACCTGGTTTATTCTAGCCAGTATATTGGATTATATGTAAAGCTAAGGTCATTTTTCCCTCGTATTTTTTCTTTAATGGTGTGACAATGCAGCAGGAGTACCTTTGCTCCATAAACTTACAGTTGAACTATTGCAAAATTTACGCAATAATTCAAGTGAAAGACCCATGTTTTAATTGAATTCCTTACAATAGATGGTCTAAAAGGCAACCTTTTTGAAAATTGAATCTCTCTCTCCCTCTCTCTCTCTCTCTCTCTCTCTCTCTCTCTCTCTCTCTCTCTCTCTCATTTAAAAATGTAATATGTCATATGTATATTCATTTGATTCAAGGGGTTCTGAAATTTAGAATAATGTAAAAAGCCTATTGTTCATTATTATTAAGAAAATATTGAAGCGCTATTGAAGCGCTACTCGTACATAAACCCTTACACATTAAAAGACACATATCAAAGAAAAAACACGAGGGAAAAATGACCCTAGCTTTACATATCATCCAAAATGATAATGTACATACTGTATAAGGTGATATTGTGATGTAAAAGATACTTGAAATACGTATTGGCCACACCCATAGAATTACCGGGTATCAATATAATATATACACCATTAATGTAGTATATCATAAAATTGTTTTCCTGGAAAACTATATATTTATGTCTCTTGTTGATTGATTTTTTTATAACCAAGGTTCATGTAAAGAAAAAATCTCATCGAAAGAAGAAAAAAACAATACCACTGTTTAAACACTTTGTCATGCAAAAAACACATGAAAATAAACCAGACGGTATAACACGTTGTATATCAATATAATCGGTAACATGAGACTCTCAGAAAGTAAAAATAACAATAATCCATGTATATACGGAGTATTTCATAATTTCATATCATACATGTGATGTTTAATTTGAATCTCTCCTGGAAAAAGTGTCAAATACGTAGGCAAAGCATTGATATTAAGTTCCAAACGTGCACTTCTTTTCAGACCAGGAGAAGATAACATGGGCAGCTTCATCGGCCATGCTTACCCGGGCTCCATCTTCCTGCTTCTGGCTCTTTGGTGGACGATACAAATGCTACAACGGTACTTTCGGTGCAGAAAGTTTGGTACGGAGTATATGGCAACCGTGATGCATAAAAGTTATTCCCTTCCCAAAGTTCCAGTTGAACCAATTTTAAAGATATCTCTCATAATGTTTGGAATCGTCGGCGAAATTATCCAAGGACATCTAAATAACGAGTTCGCTCCTAAAAACTGGCACCATGCAACCATGTTTATGTTTTTCGGACTTTCCGGATTAATAGATATGCTGGTTCACTACGATTTCAAGCTCCCCAAAAACGTAGACTATGCAATTTTCATACTCTCTGTTGCCGTTGAAGGTTTTTTATTTTTCTGGCACGTGCACGGAAGGGAACCAGTTGATGTGTGCGTGCACAAACTCTTAGTGTTCGCCATTTTTCTTGCATTTTGTGCAACCATGGCAGAAATGTGCTTTCCTTACAGCATTTTAGCCTCACTAGCGCGACCATTCTTCTTTTTTTCTGAAAGGAACATGGTTTTGGCAGATTGGTTTCACCCTGTACGGTCCATTTCCGGTATCTAGCGGAGATAACCATGACCAGATGATGATCGCGGTCTATTTCACGTGGCATGTGGCTGCCATTTTCCTCTTCATGTTTGCTTTGGGTATCGTGGTTTTCTCTTTACAAAACCATGGAAGCGGGTATACAAGAGTGTCCTGTAGCGAAGAAAGGGTCAGTCTTGTAGAGAAAGACAGTGTAGAAAAAAATATCGAAACATGACGAGGAACACTTGCTTACCTTTACCAAGTCATGTGTATTGTAGTAATGAAATGTAAGTAATGTAGTAATGAAATGTTTGTTAGTGCGAATTTTATGTTTACGGCCATTATTAAATGTTCACTACCCTAAAATGTGTTTATATGGTTTGTATTTAGAAGGAATCTTTAATACTAGTACACGGTGCTTATTTAAGTCTTGTTTACTGTCACTAAAGATACATTGTATAATTATTGTGTGTAGATCCAATTCAGCTAAAAAGCCTGAAGAAAACCTTGTACATTCATTGATTTAATTAATTTGTAGCACTGTCTGCATTAGACATACGTGTATCAAATGACTCTTATCTTCAGACTTATCTTATTCATGTACATGTATTTTTGAAATGGGCCACTATTATTTTTATTATTCAAATTACTAGTATATGTTTTAATATCCTGTTTCTCAAATCTTATTTGAAATGGACCATGTGACATCATATTACTATTAAATATTTTAATATAAAAATTTCAAATATATGTTCAAAAACATCAATTGAACAAAAAAAGAGTTTTATTTGAAAAAAAAGTTAGAAGTTTAAAATATTTATTACTCTAAAAGTGTATTTCAACGGTTTTTTTTTTTTATTTATGGAAAACATTGTAAATGTGTTTTTGAGGATAAATCTATGAAAAAAAGACATAAAAATATCATTGGGCCTGGGGTGGATATTCGAGGGGGATGTTCCTGTCCACAAGCACCCGTGGTATCCACATCTGATTAACACCACTTCTAAAATAAATCTGTAGTATTCAATACTCGTTGTATATAGTGATCGGGATGTCCATCCTTCCGTAATTCCGTCCTTCAGACGTATTTCGGGTCTCCCAGATCAAATTAAAAGCAATGATTTTAATGATTTTGCCATAAATTATAACCATATGGGAGGCGGGGGTATCATTTAGTGAATTTAGTACTCCAGTACCTCTAGTGTTAATTTTCTAACGGGGAGTAAGAACAGGTTTGATTAAACATTTACTGGAACTCCTTCAGTATGTAGCTTTTTTGTAAGGATATGAAGTTTCGGAATCCGTTTATGTACAGTAATTCATTCAACTTATAATAGTTTCTACTAGCCATTTTCCGTTAAATTTTTGAAAATGAAATTTAATACTGACTCCTGATTTCAGAGAAATTAATTATTCTTCTTATAATTATTGGAAAAGTACCCATGAGTAGAGGCAAAATTAAATTGAAGTTAATCATTAAATAAAATGAAGAGCATTGCAAACGGAGGCATAGTTGTTGTATACCTGCTTTGTCAGCTAGATAAGTATTAAATGAATAGTGTACATGTAATCTTTGCGATTCTTTTCTCACTTTGGGATTATTGATGACAGAAGAAATGCGTCATTGCGCGATTCTCACGTTGATACATGTATCGAATGAAGTTAAAACGTTATTTTATTTAGCCATATTTATTAGTACATGTACGACAGTATTTATTCAGAGATAATTTTTCGGCGCTCACATGAATCGGTACTAGAACATGGAGCTAAAGATCAATATTTAACAGTTCTAAATCCGCTTAACAGCAGGACACCTGGTTCATGAACAGGTCAATTATAACATGTGTTTGTATAACAACGCATCCGCCAGAATATCAAAACAATGACAAAATAAGTAATTTTATTTTTTATGGTTTTATTTTCGCATATTTTCCCACAGGTTAAATATATATAAATAAAAGGCAAGAAAATATAATCAGAAAACAAGCTGTGAGTAGAATGTATAAAATGAATACCTACAGACACTCAAATATTTCACATGCCCAATAAACTTGAATAAACAAACAAAAGAAATCTTTAAAAAAAAAAAAAAACCTTTGCTGAAACAAACAAAATATGTCCAACGAAAAACTATTTGGTTCCTGCATAAAATAAAATAATTGCTTAAAATTCAACAACAAAAAATTAACTAAAATCGGATAGAGAAGACTTTTGGTTCAAAAAGATAAACAATATAAAAATATAATATGAAAAGGTAAAAGAAAAAGCCTCATTTTTTCTTCAATACAGACTATAAGCATTTGAACAAATATAACCCAAAACAATTAACTCTCATCTGAACTGAAATAAAAAAATAATGCATGAAGAATGGGGCTGATTTTTCATTTTCACATTCACTTCACATTAAATTACTGTTTCCTTCACTCTTATGTTAAATACATTGTAACCCTAAATTTCATATAAAAGGTTTTTGCAAAGAAAAACATAAACTTTATGGACAAGCATTATATGGTACTTCCATACTCTTCACAAATCATGTACAATTCCAGGTTCCCATTCAAACGCACTAATACATGTAGTTGATTATTATTCAACATTGCCTTAAAAAATTAAGTACTTGTTTCATAAAAAAGTAGGGACATAAACAGATATTTCCATAAATACCTTGTCAATACTTCAAATGTTTTATTTGCAAAAACAGTGGTAGGAAAGAATATATCAAAAGGTAAAAAAAAAAAATGTCCAAACAAATTCAAATTTCAAAATAATGTCATCTGATTTACTTTCAATTGTCTTTGCCCCCCCCCCCCTTCTTTTCCCCTGTAGACATTTTTTTTTACTATTGAAAAAGAAAAAGTACATTGAAAGGCTGGTTCCCACAACCCCCACTTTTACATGCAGTATGGTCAAATAAGGGTTATGTACATTTTCTCATTTTATATAAAAAAAAAGCACTGTTTTCAAGCAAATTGATTTTTTGCCCCTCTCCCTCTCCTTTATTACATGTACCTATGTAGCCATTTTTGTCATTCTTTTAATTAAGCACTTATCCATGTGTTTTATAGAACTTTCCAACACTCATACACAGAATAGTGTGTTATGTCCTTTCATGAACATAATAATTCATAAGCATGTTATATGTTTATGCAACACATTTGAAGATAAAATAAAAATGTTCTGAAATAAAACCTTCATTTATTCCATACACAGATTAAAAAAATCTTTTATCCATGGTAAGAAATTATGTTACACATTGAGAGAAAAGCCACTTTCTCACTTTTAAAATTGCACACATCCAAAGAATAAGGAGGGCTTTGTATAATGAGCGTAGTACGAGTTATCTTTCTTCCATCACATCTTCGAAATCGAAGTCCCCTTGTAAACTTGCTACACCGGAATTCTAAGTTTGTTCACATGTTCTCCGAATATCGATATTGGAATGTTAAATCCAAACACTGACTACATCTTGATTTTTAATCATGATATCTTCATCCATGCCACGAAACACATTAAGCAGGCAGTTAGTGCAGATAAACTAAGGGACTGGGTCCTTGCTGAGCTCCGAGGCGCGAAGCTGTAGTCTCTACAAATGGGTGGCGTTAGACCACTATTGAAGTCTGTTAAAACAGCTTTGATATCCTCCCCACAATGATTTCCTATCTGTGTGCTGTAACAATGGTTTGAAACCTGGAATATGCTGTAATAAAAACAAAATAATATTAGTGGGTCGTATTAATGTATGAAAATATCGTGTAATTTCGCAAACCTTCAAAGCAAAAAGTAAAGTTACTCGATAATTTCACTGAAATTCAGTTTTCTTTTTCATCGTAATAAGCTGAAGCTACCGGTATGACCGCATGAGAATATTTCTTTTACAGTAAATTTAACTTCAGTGTATTTTATATATAGATAATAAGAGAATTTGAGTTTAATTAAGTTTAGCAATTTAATTTTTAAACGATAAGTCCTTCCTGTTAATAAACGAAAGAAATCTATACTCATCAAAGGCAGTTGGTTTAATTTACCATCATTATTTTGTGACTTCACCCAATCAATGATATGGAAACATATAATACCTCTATTTCACAATTAATGACACAATTTAATAGGAAGAACGGATATTGGAGCCCCCGTATCGAAGATGAGTCTAAAAGTTTAATGGGGCCGAGCATATTTTTGTGCGATAATATCAGTTGTATCTTTTATCATTAAGTCAGGCAGCAAGAACTGCTAAATGCGATAAACTTTCATTTTATTTCCAGGTATTAAAATAATGATCGAAATTACACGGAGAATTTGCATTTAGATTTCCTACGCAAATACAAGTTAATAAAGCATGTCACTGATTTGGAAGTTTTAAAAATTCTGTTTAATATTAATTTGCAAAAATGTCTTTTCAATCAAACTAACGAAATCGTTTTATTTCTCTGGATGCACGATGTTTTTTTTAAAGGTACCCCTCTCCACTTTTATTATTCCCATGAATCAAAATTTATAAAAACTTTTAAATGAGAAAACACTTGCTGTGACTTTCATTTTAGTTACTTCCATTTACTAGTATATGTCGACTTGATATATCATGGTAAACTTGAAATAAAAGCTACCACAGAGTCTGCCAATCTGTTTCACGTATTATTGGGATGTTTTACTGCCATGAACAGATGATACTTACAACTAACAACTAAGCTGTATGACAAACTAGATAACTTTAGTTTTTCCAATGTCAATTTCCCTTAATTTTATAGTTATTATGTATTCCGCTGAAAACTGCATGTGGAGTTAACATCTCCCGGTTTGTTCAATACCCAAAAGACCAGACACTGCTGAGGCACGCTACTGACAAATGAATTGATGCTACATACAAAGACTTCAATAATCCCCATGTTCCACTTTAAACATAGAGACCGATCACTGTTCCTTATCTTCGCCTTTTTCATTAATGCTAAAGCAAAAGACTAACACGTCAAAAATCTTAAAAAGTCCTTTGTAGTGGTGTTTAAAAGAAAAAAGAAAAAACTCTGCATGGGAGATTGATAACATGGCTGAAAGACAGAGACAGACGGACAGAAAGACAGCTAAACAGTTAGACAGACAGACAGTCAAAACCCCTGTTAAAATCCAATCTGGTTTACAGGTATAGCACTAATAAACAGTAAATAAGATTCGGTAAATACCCACCCACATATACTCTTTACATATTTTTCTTCGTCTTCACTGATGCTGTAGGTCACGCCAGCTTCGTTGGAAATTTCGATATCTTTATGTTTGCTCTCCGTGCATTTCTGGATTTCGGAGTTTTGCTTTGTGATGCAGTCAGCCTTACTAATATATACTGAAAAAGACATCACAATACCTTGACACTGTTTTAACAGGTAAAACGAAAACTAACACTATCGGGATTACTAGTATATCTAGGCAATGAATGACAGAATGAGTAGGATCAGGCGTACAAGCATACAGCTGGAATTTTACAAGAGCTGCATGAGTATAGAAGCACTGGAAAATGAACGGATTCATGTTTCAATATCTCTAACATAAATTATTATATTAAATTATAATTTTCTCTATATATCCATCGTTATTATTATTAAGATCAAGATAAAATAGGTATAAAAAAAATCCTTACGTGACATGCTATGACAAAGTCTGTCAAATCCAGCTTCCCAGGCATTAGGGTCAGCGTATTTTGTCAACATCTCTAATTTGACCGGATCTTTACACGATTGATGTAAATTTCTTAAACAATTCACCGAATCCCTAAAGTTTCCATTTCTAAACGAAAAAAAACATTCATGATTCTGATTGTATCCAAAGAAACCTATGCTAGATTTTTTTTTCATCTTTTAAACTTCGTGTAACTTAGAAATATCCCTATCCCTATGGGCCGACCTTGACTCATTTAAAAATACAATTCTCAGTTAACCTTGGACGTTCAGTAGGACGTGAGTTTATCGACACTACGTAATTAGCGTCTCTCACATGGAGAACAGATTCTTATTGGTTAAGAAATTAATTATTATAACATCAAAAAATTTTAATTATTGTTGACAACGATGAGACGCCTTATGCCCCACTTCTTTGCCGTACGAAACGCCATCATTCGATCATTGCTACACTCGTTGACATTCGCCAGAATGTATATTTCAACAATGTGAATGAAAGGCTGTGTAAATTTCAGACGCTTAATAGGTAACGTTGAGAATCCCACGCCTTACTGATAGTCCAAGGTTAACTGAGAATTGTACTCAAAGGAAACAGCTCAGTAATCAAGACTACACAATCAGTAATCAAGACTATACACACAAATTACTTTGACCTTATCATGAAACACTGTACATATTCGTAGAATTGCTTGGTCAAACTGTATAACATTTACATACTCGCAGAATTGTTTGGTCCTATAGATGTCTGCAGGGCTTATGGTGACCTTTGCATTCTCCCCGTCCGTCAGATTGTGGAGGCACGTGAGGGCTTCCTTCAGGGCGTTATTCTCAGGGCACGTGCCAGAGCACGTGACGCTCATCAGCCAGAACAGCATCATCACTGTCGTGTCTGTAAAGTATTAGACAAGTCAAACTACGAATTATAACAGCATCATCACTGTCGTGTCTGTAAAGTATTAGACAAGTCATACTACGAATTATAACAGCATCATCACTGTCGTGTCTGTAAAGTATTAGACAAGTCATACTATAACTTATAACAGCATCATCACTGTCGTGTCTGTAAAGTATTAGACAATATTCAGACTACAACTTATAACAGCATCGACAAAGTATTAGATAAGTCAGACTACAACTTATAATAGTTTTATCACTGTCGTGTTTGTAAAGTATTAGACAAGTCATACTACGAATTATAACAGCATCATCACTGTCGTGTCTGTAAAGTATTAGACAAGTCATACTACAACTTATAACAACATTATCACTGTCGTGTCTGTAAAGAATTAGACAAGTCAGACTACAACTTATAACAACATCATCACTGTCGTGTCTGTAAAGAATTGGACAAGTCAGACTACAACAGCATCATCACTCTCGTGTCTGTAAAGAATTAGATAAGTCAGTATAACAACATCATCACTGTCGTGTCTGTAAAGAATTAGACAAGTCAGACTACAACTTATAACAGCATCATCACTGTCGTGTCTGTAAAGAATTAGACAAGTCAGACTACAACTTATAACAACATTATCACTGTCGTGTCTGTAAAGAATTAGACAAGTCAGACTACAACTTAGAACAGCATCATCACTGTCGTGTCTGTAAAGAATTAGACAAGTCATCACATAATACAACTTAGACAAATCAGCAAATCATCACTGTGGTGTCTGTAAAGAATTAGACAAGTCACAACATATAACACTTATCCTCAACGTCATAATGAAGTTTTTAATCATCTTCATTGTCGTGTCTGTAAAATATTAGACAAGTCATGCTACGAATTATATCAGCATTATTACTGTCGTATCTGTAAAGTATTAGACAAGTCAGTCTACAACTTTTAATAGTTTTATCACTGTCGTGTCTGTAAAGTATTAGACAAGTCAGACTACAACTTATAATAGTATTATCACTGTCGTGTCTATAAATTATTAGACAAGTCATACTACAACTTATAACAGTTTTATCACTGTGGTGTCTGTAAAGTATTAGACAAGTCAGTCTACAACATATAACACTATCCTCAACGTCATATCTGTGAAGTTTTAAACAACTCAAGTTACAACATTATAAAATTATCATGCTGCGAATTATATTAGCATTATTACTGTCGTATCTGTAAAGTATTAGACAAGTCAGCCTACAACTTTTAATAGCTTTATTACTGTCGTGTCTGTAAAGTATTAGACAAGGCAGTCTACAACTTATAATAGTTTTATCACTGTTGTGTCTGTAAAGTATTAGACAAGTCATACTACGAATTATAACAGCATCATCACTGTCGTGTCTGTAAAGTATTAGACAAGTCATACTACAACTTATAACAGTTTTATCACTGTGGTGTCTGTAAAGTATTCAGACTACAACTTATAACAGCATCGACAAAGTATTAGATAAGTCAGACTACAACTTATAATAGTTTTATCACTGTCGTGTTTGTATAGACAAGTCATACTCGAATTATAACAGCATCATCATCGTGTCTGTAAAGTTTTAAACAACTTATAACAACATTATCACTGTCGTGTTACAACTTATAAAATTATAACAACATCATCACTGTCGTGTCTGTAAAGAATTGGACAAGTCAGACTACAACAGCATCATCACTCTCGTGTCTGTAAAGAATTAGATAAGTCAGACTACAACTTATAACAACATCATCACTGTCGTGTCTGTAAAGAATTAGACAAGTCAGACTACAACTTATAATAGTTTAATCACTGTCGTGTCTGTAAAATATTAGACAAGTCAGACTACAACTTATAATAGTTTTATCACTGTCGTGTCTGTAAAATATTAGACAAGTCAGACTACAACTTAGAATAGTATTATCACTGTCGTGTCTGTAAAGTATTTGACAGATCAGGCTTCATCACATAATAGCATCGACAAAGTATTAGACAAATCAGACTACAAATTATCACTGTGGTGTCTGTAAAGTATTAGACAAGTCGGTCTACAACATATAACACTATCCTCAACGTCATATCTGTGAAGTTTTAAACAACTCAAGTTACAACTTATAAAATTATCTTCATTGTCGTGTCTGTAAAATATTAGACAAGTCATGCTACGAATTATATCAGCATTATTATTTATTATATTAGTCTACAACTTTTAATAGTTTTATCACAAGTATACATACAACTTATAATAGTATTATCACTGTCGTGTCTATAAATTGTGACAAGTCATACTACAACTTATAACAGTTTTATCACTGTGGTGTCGACAAGTCAGTCTACAACATATAACACTATCCTCAACGTCATATCTGTGAAGTTTTAAACAACTCAAGTTACAACATATAATACAAAATATTAGACAAGTCATGCTGCGAATTATATTAGCATTATTATGTTGACTGTTGCTACTAACTTTTAATAGTTTTATCACTGGGTCTGTAAAGTATTAGACAAGGCAGTCTACAACTTATAATAGTTTTATCACTGTTGTGTCTGTAAAGTATTAGACAAGTCAGTCTACAACTTATAACAGTTTTATCAATGTCGTGTCTGTAAAGTATTAGACAAGTCCGTCTACAACTTATATCAGTTTTATCAATGTCATGTCTGTAAAGTATTCAAGTTGATAATGGTTTTTGAAAATTTTCATGAAAGTATGCTATATTTATTATATTATACTGAATGTTTTATACAAATACATATAACAGTGAACCGTGCGCGCATAAATTCTGCGCAGTCGCTATTTTTTGGAATACCACCCGTCGTCAAGCAATTTTGACTGTTTCTACGCTGGAGGGCGTGGCTTCATTATTCAGCGGGTAAATGCAATATTTATATAATAGCATCCTCATTGTCCTTTCTGTTAAGTATGAAACAAGTCAGGCTACAACTTATAACAATTTTGTAAAATCTGTGAAGTATTTGATATGTCACGCTACAATGTATAACAGCAATACCAGTTTCGTGTTTGTAATGCATTACATCTCATTCTACCACCTGCTTTTATAACTGACTCTAGTGTATTCAGTATTAGACAAGCCAGGCTACAGGACGACGGGAAAAACGGGGATAAATCTCTTTTATCACTTTTAATATAAAATGGAAGAAAAAGTACCACGGATAAGCACTGTGATCTTACCTTTATATATTTTGCGTACATGTGTGTGGAGGGGAATCCAAAAAGTTCAATTTACACTCTAACTGAGGTCTGCAGTTGGAATTGACTTCTTGAGCAGCAATAGGTTTTTAAATACAGTATACAAGATTAAAAATTATTTTTGATCCCCCAAATCGGTAACAGAATTTGAAATTAAGTATACAAACTGACGTTAGTACGCGTGTCAGGTTTATAAACTGAGTTTGATAACGGGCATCCACTGACAGTTAAGATCAATATTATATAATACTTTCTAGATAAACCAGCTATCCGATGTTTAATAGTCAGCAGGAAAGATTCATTCTGTATCTAGAGACACAAATTCTTTACTCCTTGTTATCAAAATAAGTTCTGGTTTCTTAACTTTTAATGCTTACGAGCATCAAGTCTCCAGTTGTAAAGAATTTCTTTTAAAATAGTTATGCATTTTAAAAACAACACTATAGATATATTCAGGAAGAGGTTTTCTTTGTAGTATTCCTTTGTCTGGCATCCCACTTAATTAAGTTCAGAACATTGTAAAAATAAATGCTAACAATTACCTTTTCTTAAAGTAAAAAATGCACATCGGGTGACAACCCCCCTCCCTCCTCAACTCCCCAAATGTTCCAAGTTATTTCAACAACAAACGTATATCTGATTCAAATCTAACAAATCCATGCATTGAGAAGTTGGTATAATGTGAGGAATTCCTTATCTTACATGTATGTTATTTACATTTAGTCATACGTCTTTTTATATAAATATACGAATCTAAGCACATAAAATCTTATTTAAGTGTAGCTTCTTGAGTCAGAAGTAATTTTCCTTTTAAAAACACTTCACGCATGTGTGTGGTAAGAAACTATATATGTCCTATCATGCATACAAGTTCATCAAGTAATTTTTACTGAAAGAAGATTTTGACAAAATATTTGAAGTACATCCCAACAAAGGTCCTGATGCTATTTTAACTATTGTCATAATGCTTGAATTAACGTATTTTCTTTGGTCTAATGACCACATATTAGGGCCCTGTCTCTTTTCTTATTTACGATAAAAAATATACGAACAAGTGAAATGGGGAGCTTAGTTGATACATGTAGTTGATACATGCTATATAATAAGGAATCAATCTAATAATTAGATGAATATATAGTACATTCGATGAACAGCTGGACAATGGTTTGTGGAAAAAATGCAGTAACTGCAGGATACAGGCTCTTAAAACTAAATAACATTGCCAAACATTTTTCTTCAATTCACAATAAAAATGGAGTACTTATCTGAGCTCAGAACAGTTCAGTGACACAATGGATGACTAATTTAACAAATGCACTAAATACATGTAGGAAAATAAAATTCTGGACTTACGCAAAATTACTGGCCACACCACCATATCAGTTGACTGAATGCAAAAAATACGTCACACGATGGGTTTCTCTCTGAATTTCTTCATATTTGAAGTCCATCAATCTAAAAATAGATGCAGATCATCTCACAAAAAGCAACATCGCATCAACTTAATTGCCTGAGAAAATGAATCTCAGTAACCAGTCCTCTACTCGACAGAGAGGTTATTTTTGTGTGTGTCCTGATAAGTATATATGTACCCGCCGTGTGACAGCTCTATCAGTCGCAGGTTTATAAAAGAAATCCCTTAAAAGCAGTCCTCACGAGGGAAATTAAGGATAAATGCCCGAATGCACCCGCCGAGTTAAATATCTGCACAAATTTTAATTGTATACCAAAATGTATACCAAAAAGTTCATTCATCCGTGCAACAAGACACCTGAAGAAAACTTATGTAAACTCTCTGTCATTTTTAAGTCAGGTTGTAGAAAATTAAATATTTTCCGTAAAATTTGTCACTAGGATGAGTTACATGTAGGTAATGATTCTTTTTTTTTTTTTAGCTTTGGTGGCCTGCCTGCAAATTTATAAATTACTGGAAACGTTTGTGTTGGAAAAGCGGCATCCGGCACCAGCCAATAAACTTCTTTTAATTTTTTTTAACATGAAAACTTCATTTAGATAATTAACTTAAAGGAAGCACAACTAGATAGATTTCAAGATTAATCCGCTGGGGGGAAATATGTTGGTTTTAAAGGTCTATAAAATATATAATTTGTTGATTCATTACTGAAGTAAAATTGATCAAATACAAACAACACACTCAGGTTAAAAAACCTGTAAATATATATAAATACCGGTATATATTTTTTTTTATTACTTCAATGAATGAAAAGGCCAAACAAATCAAACAAGAGGCCCAAGAGCCATATCGCTCTCCTGAACATTTTTGCTAGGAAAAAGCAGAAACCAGTTGTTTTTAACAAATTTATTGAAAAGTTAAAATATTTTTTCCTATTTAAAACTTTGATAGTCCATTGTGGTCAAACCCTCACCCTCTGCAGTACCTGAGAATGTTGTGACATTCGTTTCATCTATCCTGGCCTAGTGGTTCTTGAAGAGAAGGTTTTTTAAAAAAATGCAAGTAACTTTTCACTATGCTCTATATAAACATGACCAACCATGGATTTTCTTTCTGAGAAAATTTTATAAAAAGGTTACATTAAGAAATAGACAGCAAATACACATGCTGTTTGATACAATTTGTGTAAAACAGCTACAGTGTATATTAAAATTGTATTTCTGGGAAGAAAATATATATTTTTCTAGCATGAAGAAAACTTTCTCTCTTTAAAAAACAAACGTTGTCAGCTATATATTTACAATCCAGCTGAATTTCTCAATATACACTTTCCTCAGAAATGTTGCACTTTATCACAACATTGATCAATATCATTTTATCACAATATTAATCTAACCATCTTTAACCAGATCCGATTTTTCCTATTTTAAACTTTCATTCTTTGTTTCCTTTTGTGAATTGATAGCATTTCGATTGGCTCCATTCAACCGCCTGAGAATTTAACCTCAAAGATAATTCTGGCTTCATGTCAACTATACAACAATCATAAGACGGCAATTTATATTCGTTGCAGAAAATCTCTTTTTTACAGCATAAACGTTTTTCCATTTTTCAATTATCATCGCGCCGCCTGCTTTCAAATCTCGCGAGACTTCTTTCGAAAACTCTTCATTAGGTTAGTTAATGGCGGTCGATATTTCATCTTATTCAGTTTTGTTGTTTTATCACCAAAGCAGGTTTGTAATGTGTCACTCCTGAGACTAGAGAATATTGATATCGATATTAACATATCTCTACAGACCTACAATTACCAAGCCCCTCATCCTCCGGAGAGCGATTCTAAGTGTGTGCATAGTTTTCTACTTTTACCCCCTCCAAAATACAAGTATTACACAAGACAATAGATGCTTAGGATAATGGACTCGAAAAGCTTTCCAAGAAGCAAAAAACATATTGGTGCACTTGGGTTTGATGTGTCTGCACCAAGAAAGTACTCTGAAAATTCAACGAAAGAGAAAGAACTTGCACGAATGGGAAGCCACCAAATCGTTGGCAAATTCATTAATATCTTTATAATATAACATGCAAAAACTGGAAACAACTTCGGAAAACTCTAACTTCTTAATTATTACTCGTACACAAGACTACATATTTAAGGCGTTGTTTCTTGCTTGGCTTTGACTTGTGCTTGGGAACCTATTTTACAGCTATATTGTTTATGATCATTAATTTTTTATTACACTGTAGCAACATGCAGTTACATATTTTTATAAGAGGCAAACCCCCATCTTAATTGGTACAATGTAAATAAGAATACATGTACTATATTTTATATACGAGATATTTTGTTATTATATACAGTAGAAAAAAAATTATTTACCAGTTAATATTGGGAGGGTCTCAGTATGTAGCTTATGAACAACTCACGCTGGTAAAAAAAATGGTTAACATTCAGAATATATCTTTTATCATCTACCTTTTCATATTTGCCTGACGAGAACGCGTTACAATTCTGATACATCATGAACTAAGAGTAAGTTTACACAAGAACTATAAACAGCTGGAAGTGGATAATCAGCGCAAGGCAACAAATAGATAAGATTCTACTGTAATCTTTACAAATTCTCTACATTGGGAAGGGGAGAAAAAGATGCTGTACTTAACTTAATATGTTTTTTCTCCTTCCAACTCACAAAGAAAATACAGAGCGAAAACTTTTCTTTCTGTCTTCACATTCCACACTTTCTGTTAGCTAGAGGGGTATTGTCGAGGAATTTTTTTCTTATTTTTGTAGGAACAGGACAAGCCAAATGCTTTATTAATACCGGTACTGCTTTTTTGCCAATAATTAAGAGAGACAAAGTAGTATCATTAGGTATGATGCAAATACTTGGGGACGTAATGCTCAAAAAAGTAGCCTAATTAGTGCTAAGATCACGAGCAGCATCAGTGCATGTGCAGCACGTGTTTCTACAAGGTATCTACCGACTTTTGGCAATGCACAACATGCACGAATACTTATACTGTTAATTACATATATATAAACACACAGTATATAAACAACTTAAGCTTTTGTATGACATATTTATCATTTATTTCTTCACTGTAATTTATAGCGACATTAATTTTTCAAGACCTTGGGATGATATCCGTGACATTGACCGTAATTAAAACTTCAGTACAAGGTGTCGTGGCGGCCTCTATCGAGTAAAACTGTTAATTTTATTTCTTACAAAGAGATACCTGCGTACGAAAATATATTTTTCATAAAGCTCATTTACATTTATATAAATGAAAAGATAAAACCTTGACATATTTGTAAGAATTTCTTTCCTATTTGTCTTGAGAAGAGAACTGGACCTGTCTTGAACGGTCATGGACCATAAATTAAATCTTTATTATCACAAACTTTTATAATACTAACACTCTAGCCCGTCAGTTCTTTAATCATCTCTGATATTCTTATACATTTTCATAAAAACTAATGTGATTTAAATTACTAAGTTTGTAAAAAAAAAAAAAAAAAAAAAAAAAAAAAAAAAGACCAAAAGCTACACATGTATCTATAAGTTCTTGAAGAAAAAGTGCTACTTCATTCAAGTGCACTTTTCAAAATAAACTGGTATACATGCATAAATGTAAATACCTGATATATTTTCAGGATATAAAATTTTGCAGCGAAAGAATTTCAACGTTTACGTGTACTGGTAAGTTAACGCTACCCCCTTATATGGTTTGACACCCCTCGGAAATCTGGTGCTCACCAAATCACCCGAAAGAGTCGACACATAGATGTAGTACACGCTTTTAAGCTTATTATGACAAGAAAAGCATCTTACTGTGAATGCTTTTAATTTCTCGCCCTGCTGTGCCGAAATTGCATGCAACCTTTCCATCTTTTTATTTCCCGGAAAAAATACCCTTTACCACTGTTTACTATTCTTCGAACTAAGACGATGAAACTTTGCAGATGAAATTAACGATATATTTTTGCAGCCAGAAACAATAAATTGCAACAAGGCATGAACAAATAAGTTTTCCGCCCCATAAACAAGTCATAAATTGAGAACATACGTACCCGCGCCTCACGCCATCGTGAATATAAACAGTAAATCCTACATTGTATTCATAAGGTGGAATAGGAAACAAGAAACAACTTCAGCATCTGAAGAGGCGCCATACAAAACTGAACTCTGATCCAGCAATTGTTTTGTGCTAATGGGTTTTGTCTTAAAACCAACAACAGTAAATCTCGTGCATCAAGCGCTATCTCTCGACAGTTGTCCAATTGATAAGTATCTCCATTTACTTATCATCACATTTGCTGTATACACACACGCGCGTAAAGTAACATTTCGACACCACTTCTATTTGGATTACTGGCACGTGAAGGGGGGAAATTGTCAAAATTCTGCTAGAGGCCCCTCTTTTCTATCTATACACAGGGCCTGACTGATGTATTGAAGCAGCACTTGCTTTTCTCCGAAGTTCTTATCGATTATTTTCTAACGCTTGTCAGCATCGCCAGAGATCAGAGAAAATTAGAAATTTGAGAGCGTCGCCGGCGACCCAAGAATCTTCATGAACTTGGTATTGAACACGGACCGAGTTAATTAATCTGCTATGTCAGTGGCAGTTGAGCCATTTTAAATAAAATGATTGTACTTTCACGAGTACGGACTAGTTCATGATGAAATATCCAAGTTTGGACGTATTTTAGATCGGATTTGTCTATTCAAAAAGCGACTCTACGTAAACTATTTTTGCTCACAATTAAATAAGAATTTACATTTTTCCCAACTTTACACAATTAGCTGAACAACATTTTATTTGCTTTTTTTATATCTTTTTCCATTGTCTAATTTTAACTCAGTTTTAATTTACTTGAACTACATGTACCACAACTTTTATTAGAAGTCATGGCGCAAGAATTTTATTGATAGATAATATATTACTGTACATCTATATCTAAAAATTTTATGACTTCCTTTCAAAAGTAGATATCTTCAATTTCATTTATTCCATGATATGATTGTATGCCTTAATTTGTAGCAATTCATTTTTATTAACAGAAAAGAGTTTTTTTTTTCTTTTGTATTTCCAAGGTAAAGAGTTTGTTCATTCATCTGAATTAATTATTTATAAAAATTGGCGGAACATTTGACAATAATTTTGATTACTAAAAAGCAGCTATCCATTGCATTTATTTCTAGGTGCATGAATTATTAATGCTACATTCTTATAATTTCCTAATCAGTTATGATCTACATTTATTTGCAAACGAGATGTACGTATTTCAACAACCCTTCGAAAAAGTTTCAAATGACACTTAATTTAACGAACAAAACGTTTAGTGCAAAAAGATGGGATAATTTAATTTGCACCACATCAACACAATGTTAAATTCCCATACCATCACAAGTTTGCATATTTTTATTTCGAGAGCTCGTCAAGCATCGAGTGTAGTCATTGGATCCGCCTCCCAGGGGAATTCATGATGCAAATTTTAGTATTGGATTATCGCCTCAGCACGTGTTAATGTTATATTATAATTGGCAATAGGCACCATGTACATTTCGTATGTTGATTTCATTGCATGATAACATATCGGTGTGAATTACTGCCTCCGTACCTTCGGGTTTTATCACACTGTTAATGTATTTCCAATATTCTTTCCTTCGCTGTACCATGACTGCAT